TGCATGTAAACTCCTCTTGACAAGCTCCCTCATCACACCGTCTTATCTTCACGTAATGTTTAAGGCGCCTCGATTAAGGTTCTTTGCAGAGAATTAAGAATGGTACATGTGAATGTCTTGGCCAAGATGAGCTGAATACAATAGATGAGAGTAAGTAATGGGCGAACCTGCGATGCGTGAATTAGGTAAAAGCAGCAGAATTGACGAAAGCAAATGATGATGAATGAATTCGGATGGATGGGGAAATGAGCGGTAACCATGGAGAAAGATTATGAAGAGGGAGCAGGGATGGTGGTAGTGGTTACGAGGGGGAGGTTAAGGGGTAGCGGGGTGAGCTATGGGGAAAAAAGTGAGTTTTGAGGGAGGAGCGTAAATTAGTGAGCGAAGGTAATTCCCGCTTGACATGGAGGGGAAGTTTGTTCCGGCGAAGGGGAGCGAGAAGAGAGAGAGAGAACGCGTGGATCGAGCACAAGGAAAGGAGGAACAGAGGGAGATAGCAAAGATTGAGAGCGAGAAGGGACATAGCAGGATACCAGAGTGGCAAGATGAGGCGGGGCAAGACCATGAAGGGATATGCTGACCAGGGTGAGGAATTTGAGTAGGGAACCGGTAATAAACAGGGAGGCAAAAATGCAGTCGAGCGACGAGAGTGGAGCTGTGAGAACTGTAGGGAAAGTTGAATATGATATGTGCAGACGTGTTTTGGATTTGTTGAAGGGCGGCATCGGCATATACGGGGAGACGAAGCATGAGAGAGTTACAGTGGCGCAGACGATGGTTATGGTGAAGGAAATGGATGAGGAGTTTTTGCGGCAGAGGTTGAAAAAAGCGGTCGGATTTTGCGAATGTTGAATAAGTTAAACCGGCAAGCGCAGGGAGTGGCGGAAGCGTGACGAAATCGGGGGAATATAAAACGGAGGGAAAGAGATGGTGTGACAGAGAGCAGGGGAACGGGAGGCAGGGAAAACGATTATTTTGGTTGATGGACAGAAAGTGACGTGACATCCGAGATTGGATGGAGACCAGACAGGATGAGATGCGGAAAGCGAGGTCAGGGGAAAAAAAGGAGAAGAACATTTGGATGTCATCCGTGAAGAAATTATGGGGAAAGTTCAGCGACGAAAGGAGAGATTCGGGTGGTGAAACAAGGAGAGAAAAAACATGGCAGGTCAGCGTTGCTACGTACACAACCGCCTCAGTAAATTCGTGGAATCTTCGGTGCTAAAGCAGCGGCTCCCTCCGCAGATCCCGATTTCGGCCCGGAGCAGAGCTGCGCCACTCTATGGCACGGTGCCAAATGCCCACAAGCTCTGGCACACGCTCTAGGCCACCACGTGACCTCCACAAACCTCTGCACGGTGTGTAAGAGGTCACGTCGCGAGCGCTCCATGAAAATTGTCACAGCGAAATAGTTTGAAACAAATTTCCACTAATGTTTCTGGGTTTTCTTTCTAAGTGGTATGAAAACGCACTCCTAACCACACGTAATAGAGCACTCATCACCCCCAAACTGGCAGACCAATGTCCCAGGTCACTCAAGCAAATCAGACTCTATCCTGGCCTCTCTGAGTTCTCACTGGGTCACACGAAATAAACTCTCAACTTTAAACTAATTTTGTCAACATGGCAGATCTTCATCATGCGCAGGGTTCGCTTGGGAATGGTAAAATATTCATGAGAACAGCCTGCTGCATTTTGATCTGATCATTATTACTCAAACATGGGAACAGCCCATCAAGTCCCAGATCTTCATGAATCCCACAAATATACTCTTGGGTAGAGAGAGGCAGAGGAACACTGGGCGTGGCATATTGATGTCTCACTGAAAATGGCACCATTGGGTTTGTGCGGAAAGGCCGGCCCTTCCCCTTCGTTAAATGTTATCTTCACTCCATCAAAGGCAACCTCAGAGGGGCAGGGTGCCCGGATGGGGTCCGGCGTGCATCATAACCGGCTGGCACCGAGGACCTTTTGAAAAGCAAAAGGTCACCCCCCCCGCCTCGACCCACGACCACCCTCGCCCTCCCCCCAGGGAGATGAAACGTCCCCGGGGACGCGAATCTCGGGCTTTTGGCAGGGAGCTCGCCGCGGTCCGCACGCTCAAAGGCCCGCGCGCGGTCCTCCACACCGCAGTCACCAACCACATCAAAGCCTCAATCCACCTCCCCTACGCCACGCTCGCAAACTCCTCGCTTCCTTCAAAACAAGCCTCCGACGCTCGCGTAGCGGCCGCACTGCTGGGTCGCCCGTCGGGGTGCGTCACACTGCTTCTTGCTACACGTGCAGGGTTAGCCACTGCCCTCAACGCGGTGAATACGGCATGTGCATTGACCACTGGTTGGCAGTGTACGCTAAAGATCCCTTTCAGCGTCTTTCCATAGAAAGGGTCATCCAAGTGCTGTGCCTGCGTCATGGTCCACATTTTCCAGAGTAAATAAATTAATCCGCAAATTATTTAATTGGGTAAAAACACATGGTAACATCACCACCCATTGGCAGATTATAACCGTCCGTGAAACACAGCGTCTTGGTGATCCCCTTGAATGTATAGAATGGATGAAAACCAAACGAACTACATTTGTATTATCACAAATCAGCGCTGCGGTAAAGTCACTTGAAGAAGTGAGAAAACGTACCGAGAGCCTTTCTTTACAATTTTCCCAAAGCAGTAGCAGCAGCAGCAGCAGCAACAACAACACTGAAAATAAAGCCACTGCGCACATGTAGCGTTTTCTCAATCAGAAACACGATGCGTTTTTGCACACGCGACGTTTTGAACGGCAGGTCTGGAATATCCGAAAGGGTCTTCATGTCACGGCTTAATGTGCATCACGCCGGGTGCGCTTACTACATCACTCGGCCGTATATATCCAGCTTATCAGAGCAGCTGCTTGTCTTGCCGCTGTGGAGGATGCGATCTAAAGAGGAGAGCATTGTGAACGAGACAAATTGCTTTTCAGCGGTGCGGAGGCAGCCTCTGATAAAATCCTCGATGGGCCTCTGGCACGGAGATAGTCTAAGGCGGCAAGATGGGTTGTTTCGTTTCTTGGCCTCACCTTGGCTGGTGTGACACAAAGGTAAAAAACCTGACACCGTGCTGTAGGGCGCTCGGCAAGGACCGCGTTTCCATTCAACTCCTAGGTACAGTGGTAGTCGTTGTCGTCAGCCACAGTCAATTCACTGCTGGATTGAAGGCCATCACAATAATCCACTCCGCAAAATCGGTGGACGTCCTCTCGGATGCGTTCCGTTCCATGGCTGTCGTTAATATTCACAGGTTAGGGATCTTTGTTCGCCCACTGATGGGTGAGAGTTTCTCCCGTGCTGTGTCGGTCATGGAGGTTGTTTTGGCCATACTTCACCACAGGGTTACGGGGGGGGGGGGGGGGTCCCAGCACAGGTTCAGACAGCGCTGGCCACTGACGTTACCCGTGGCCAGCAATCAAACTCGGGTCGCTGGGTTCACAGCACAGCGCTCTATCCCCTTCCCGCAGGGTATATTCCCGGGGGAATAATTTAATTAAATGTAATCCCAATCGGAACGAACGTTCGTACCGACTCGCAGCTCTCGGCATCACACCGCAGGTACATCTGAGAGCACCGTGCCATTGTGCGTAAGTGAGCAATTTAGATGATTGTTTTTTTTCCCAAAGCGACCGTCCACACGCAGCAAATTTCGGCATTGATAGCCGTGGAGCGCGGGGCAAGAGCCACGCGCGCCGCCGTTTGCCCTCTCGACTGCGGCAAGCGAGAGGGCGGAAGCGCTTCCCTCCAGAGGCGCTCGATCCTGGCCCATAACGGCTTCATCGCATCCACTTTCGAGCATTCGCTGTGGCCCCCAGGGGCAACGTCGAGACAGTTTCCTCGCACATTCTGCTCTGAAATTTAGCGCCTAAACTTCCTCTGTGACCGAATGCATTTGAGCCACCTAAGCTGTGTGGACACCCACGCACGCTCACACAATGCTGCCCCACACAACGACAAAGACCCCCAGTATAGCCTCAACAGACTGTTGGGGCAAGTGCTGTTAGTGATCACCTATGAAGCCGGCATGGTACACGAGGGGGTGGGTGGCTAACACCACGGCCGGCCGCCTTCGTCTCCCCAGTGGCGATGTTTTTACACACTGCACCAGGTACTCATTTGAGGCCGAGTTGACCTAGGGGAGGCCCAGGACCAGTTCAAATAGTCGTCACCCGTGTTGGTCGTGAGTGGGAATCAAACTCGGGTCGCCGGGTTCGTAGCGCAGTGTGCCAACCGCGGCACCGCACGTACGTACCCCCACACGACTACACACACACACAAACAAAAACACGCTTCTACTCTTCACAAAGCTGAAAACATTTTTTCACAATCGCACACAAGCTGCGTTGTGATTTTACGAAGTTTAATGCGCAAAACATCGGTGAGCACGTGGCGAATCCCGGCGCCCATCAGCCGGCAAAATGAGACTCAACAATAACCGTGGAGGCGAAATTAGACAGCCACTACTTCAGCCTTAGCCATGACCACCGTCGCCAATGCCAACAACTGCAGCCGGGATGCCACCGGTGGCGAGGACAACAATTTGCTGCTACGGCGAAAAACCCGGGCGTCGATTCCCGTGCAACGCATCGACAGCAGCATCACACTGCGTGCAGCGCCTACATTTCTCTCCGTGACTGTTAGACCGGGGTAGTGGGTCTAGCGGCAGGAGGCTACTGGAGTAAATGCGCTTTTAAATCAAAATTGAAAACTCAATTCTTTAGAACTGTTTTTTGTGTTTAGCTCGCCGCCCTTACCCTCGGCGCCTGCGATGAGCGCGGTTGGCTACTGCGCACGCTGCAAGTGAAATTGAAACAAACGTGTGTACGAACGCAGAGAGTAGCCGCAGCCGAAGCGAGGGGCGTAGCCTCGGTGCGGCGTGTCTGGGTGCAGAAATGGTTTCCGGGAACGGAAACTCCGGCTGAAATTAATTTAACAAAAAAAACCTGGCATGGACCAGGCAGAGCGGGCCTCACCCTGCAGCAGAGGTCGCTGAGCGCTGACCCCGTAGCCGGCGGCTGCGTTCGCGTAGTTTGCGTTTCCCCACGGGCCCGGGGCTTTCTCCGGGCTCTCCTGCATCTCCATGGTGATGTGCTCGAGCTCAGAATCCAGCTGTGGAAGTGGTACAGAGACGAAGATTTACCCCCCCCCCTCCACCCCTCCACCCCTGCATAGCCCTACGCGGACTATGGGGACAAGTGCTGTTAAGCGAGCAGCTACGAATGTCGGAATTGCACACGAGATGTGAGGTCAGTACGATGGCTGGCCGCCTTTGTCTCCCCCAGTGCTGATATTTACACACTGCACCAGATACTTATTTAAGGCTGAGTCAATCTCGGGGAGGCTCATAACTGATTAAGATATATCTTGCGACTGACTGGGAATTGGTACCCAGATCGCCGATTTCGTAGTGGAGTGTGCCAACCATTACACCACCACTCCCCCAAGGTATATTAATTATCACACAACTGCTATTTACTGACATACGAAATAATGAATGGCAGATCAAGAACATGCACCATCATCAATTGTACAACAAGCATAAAGTTCTACATGTTGTACAAATGGCATGATGATGGTCGTTACTTTCCTGATACATTCAGCAATTATATCACGGAGAATTGGCCGCTGACTCTGCAACAACTGCAGGGTCTCGCAAAAGAGACACAATTACGGGGAGGTGTGGAAGCGTCGACAGCATCGGCCGCGGTGAACTCCCGATCTTGATGTTTCAGAACGTCACCTGCTTTTATTTGCCCGCTGATGTTGTTGTTGTTTTGAAATGTACGCACGTACGTTGAACTTCTTTCGCGCCGTTGCGTAACCAACTGTGCTAATCGTGGGGAAAAAAATGTACCAACTGAAATTTCCCCGCGCTTAGGAGAGCAGAGATTTTATAAACACCTGATGATGCTGGTTGTAATCTCCGGAGAAACGTTGGACAAGACTGTCCAATTTTGCTCGCATTTCAACATTTACTTTTTTTTACCGACAAACCAAATCAATTGCCATCTTTGCCAACGTGACAACTCGATTTCCTTGGCTCTGTCGGGGAGTGGAGAGTTATAGTAAAAACAAAATTTAAATTGAAAAACACGCAATGTGGTTCGAGTGTCCTCTATCTCCTTGTGATGAGACTTGGACTGGGCTATTGGTCATTCCCCCGGGCAGTTCAACGTGAGCTACATCTCAACGTCGCTCAGCTGTCAGCTGTTCTCGGTTGCACGGAGTGCGAGAGACAACTCAACTGGATGACTGGCTTACCAAGAAAGTGCCCGGTTTCCTTGACTGTCGTTTCTTTATCCGATAAAGCCCCACTGAGCGTCCTGACGTTTTCCGGAGGATCGTGCCACATCACCGTGTTTGACTAACCAAATCCAATTTACATAACAAGTGTTTGGCTTCGTGTGTGTGGGGGGGGGGGGGGGGGGCGAAACCTGAAAACCTGGAGAAAACCACCCCCCTCCCCCCCCCATTCAAGAAATCCACGATGCAGTATAACACGGCAGTAGTCGCGTCCCTGAAGAACAGGGACGCGACTATCGCGTTATAATGATATATGTGGGGTAAAGCACAGTCTGTTATAACATGCGAGATGCGTACGCAGGCTGAACAGAGACTGAGGCGCGTGGGTAGCGTCTGGAAGCATCCAGCAGCATCCCGCTGCGTTGTGCGACGCTGCTTCGCCGAGACAGCCGCACGACCGCTTATTCCTCCTCCTCGCGCTGCGACGTAGTTCCCCCCCCCCTCGCCCGATCGCGTTATATCCAATTCGCATCCGCGTTATGAAAAATGCGTTCCCTAATACATTCATCGCGTTGTAACCAATTCGCGTGATGAAAGCAACACGCGGCGTTTTAGTAGAACAGACGGTATTGTCATCACGTGACCACCACGTCGCGACCCTGCGAGGTGGTGGCAACCGGGAGATGGTGGCAAGGAGACAGTGGGTGCCTGTGTGTTAATGCCAGCCAACGTGAGCCCAACAAATAACTAATCTCAGCAGGGACGATCTCAGTCCCAGAGGCCAGATTATGTTATTAGAAGCTGCCTATTGCCTCCACAATGTTGACAAGCATATACACATCTGTGTAAACGATCCACCAACCCTTACCTCCAAAGCACTGGCACCACAGCACGTCAATGACGCCGTTGTGTGTGTATGCGCGTGTGTCAGGGCACCAAAAACAAAGATCCCCCGTATAGCCTAAACAGACTGTTGGGGCAAGTGCTGTTCGAGAGCACCTACAGTATGAGGGGCTGGCTGGCCAGCACCACTCTCTCGGCCGCCTCTGTCTCCCCAGTGGCGATGTTTACTACACACCGCACCAGGTACTCATTTGAGGCTGAATCGACATAGGGGAGTCCCCGGGACCGGTTCAAATATCCGCCACTGTTTTTGGCCATGGACGGGAATCGAACTGGGGTGGCCGGGCTCGTAGTGCAGAGCGCTAACCACTGCACTACCGCTGGCGGTGTCAGGGCACCGCACACACAACACAGCAATGCCAGCGCGTGCCGCAGTGCCGGGCACCTGAGTGATGTACATGCGCAGGCGCTGGTTCTCAGCCTGCAGCCCCTCGAGGCGGCCGCTCGAGCTGTGGTTGACGCTGGACACGGAGGGCGGCGTACGCGCGTCCTCGCGCTTCTGCGCCTGCGTGAAGCGGAAGCGCCGGTTGCGCGTGGCCGCGTCCGGGTTCGTGCGCATGGCGATCAGCTGGCGGAGCACGCGGACAGAGACCCAGGAGGCGACCCGTGTGAGTGCGCACGGATCTTTTGGGGGGGCGAGCGTCGTCGGCGAGCGCCTATTGAGGTCGGCGCTGAGCACGCAGGAGCGTTGTGGCCGGCGCCGCACTCGGCCGCCTTTGCGTTTGATATTTACACCCTGCACAAGGTACTGATGTAAGGCCGAGTTGACCTAGGTGGAGGTTGTTGGGGGTTAGCTGACCATACGTCAGCCTGCTGGTCAGCGAGAGTTGGTGAAGACATCGACGTGGGAACATAGAAGTGCAGTACGATGCATTTGTCTGGACTGCCCTCTGCACCGCTAGCCCGATGGTAATCTGTGGGTGCGCGTCGTCGCCCATCCAAAGCTCCACCCAGGCTCATCCGGAGTGCGCCCCAAGACTGCATGAATAGCTGTCCACAGGCGTAGTGTGTACGTAATCCACGAAACCACGTCTCGCCATCAAGACTGGTCGACTGTTGCTATAAAACCACCTCTTTTGAGCTCATAAAAGAGGGGGTTGTTTTCTCGGAGTGACAACATCACATTTACCTCCTCTATTTAAGACGGAAACAGGAGGAGGATTTCTCCACAATTCTGGCTGTCGCCTGATGAGGCCGAGTTGTAATTACCGGTAAAACGTCACATTACTGGAATTGTAAATGTTGTGGGTTTACTCTCCAACACACCTGTGTGCTGAACCAGTAACAAATTGGCACATGTTGTTTACGTGACAAACCTTCCTAATTGTCTTTTTCGGTTGATGGCGGGTTTAACGACACATTTACTTTTCCGCGATCTAACCCCAAAACACCTCGATGATGGATAACATTGGTCGCGAAAGCCTCCTACGCAATAAACTCTTTGGCGCTCCGCCTGCCTGCCTGGTCTCGGGTTCCAACCGTCTCTCGCGACTCATTCTCTGCCGCCCACCGGACAGCAACAAAAAATATTTTCCCGAGCGAGCTTCTCCAATCGAATCCTAAATTCAATGTTAAAATCTCTCCCCTGGATCGGCTTACCTGCCGAGCGCCATCAGGCATTGTTGCTGGTGAATCTGTAATCATGGTTTCTCATGTTGCTAACGCCTCTTTCCATTACGGTCTTTTCCCTCTATCGCTGAGGCTGTGCCAAGTGACTCCTCCGCTAAAAACAAAAAAACACCTGAGGCTGTGGCCCCGAGGATCCTACTAACTACCACCCTCCGTAGCTGCACCAGCAGCCATCTGGAACTCCCTCCCACTGCACAGACGCAGCGGCATCCAAGCACCATCACATTCCGGTAGCAGCTCAAGGTTCTCATATGTTCAAGCTCACCTGTTCTGGCTCTCACCTGTCCAAGCTTTCACATGTTCATGCCATCACCTGTTCAGGTTAGCACATGTTCATTCTCACCTGCCCAGACTCTCCCATGTTCATGCTATCACATGTCCAGGCTCTCACCTGTTCAGGCTCTCACATATACAGCTCTTGATCCGCGCCTCCGTGTTCTCGATCGAACATTGCGTCCGATTCGCGAACTATCATTACGAATAGTATCCACGCGGCGAACACCCTACCTTCCGCCACGAGCACCACCTCCGCGCCGCTCACCTTGGGCATGAAAACGAGGCAGAGGGTGATGGTGGAGGAGAAGATGGTGACGAGGGCGACGGTGCAGTACTGCACGTTGGGCTGGTCGCGCGTCAGGAAGGAGACGGCCGCCCCGATGATGCACATGATGCCCACGTTGTAGACGCTCATGCCGATGTACTTGCTGTCGTTGAGCGCCGGGATCGACACGTTCCGCGTCTCCCATGCCAGGAAGCAGCCGAACACCTGCAGGGGACGGGCAGAGAAGCAGTGGGGTGGCACGGCCCTCTGCCCAATTTACAGCCCCCCACCCGTACCAGTCTTAGGCCGGTTCCTGGGTTCGTTTTTGGTGCCGTGAGCCCCGACGCAGTTTCACCGCCCGCGTGCCCGAAAGCCACTGCAGTGCAGCCGTCACTCGTTCGCGACGTTCAGATCATTCAGTGTAGGGACGCACATTGCACAGGAAGAATGCTGACAAAGTGAACGGGTGGCAATTTCGTAATAATTACAAGATTAATTTTCACAAGGATCTTGCATTGGGATGTTGCAGTCAATTTCATGAGTGAGTGGTTAGTTTCATGCACGAGGAAACCAGAGTGGCACAAAGTTCTGCACAGATTGATTTACAATCCATTGTTTATGGCTGCCATCGCCTGGCAACCTGGCACCTATGGGTCATCAGCCACAGCAGAACGCTGTGTGGGCGGAATTTGGAGGGTCCATTTACAGAAGATTTCAGCATTAATATCAAAGCTACTAACACTCAACAGTCGCAAACTACCAAAAAGCTTGCGCGTGGAATGACATCAAATAATCACAACTTGAAAATACATTTCTACAAACTTAAAAAAAAAAATATTACATATAGCTACTGTATTAAAATGTCGCATAATCAGAAATGCACGAAAGTATTCGTCCTTAAATCATTTAAGATGCCGAACGCGCCCATAAATGATTGAACGCGCGCCCCGTGTGCTCCCTCGAGAGCACGTGACACGCGCGGTCACGTGGCACCCTCAGCCGACTCGGCCTCACGGCGGGCACACACACAGGCACGAAGATCCCCCAGATAGTCTTAACTGTAGGGGCAAGTGCTGTTAGTGAGTAGCACTTTTGAAGCGCGGCACGGGAAACGAGGCACGGGGCACGAGGGGGTAGGGTGGTCAGCATCACGACCGGCTGCTGCCTTTGTCTCCCCAGTGGCGATGTTTACACACCGCACCAGGTACTCATTTGAGGCCGAGTTGACCTAGGGGAGGACCGTTTCTGATAATCGTTATTGGTCTTGAATAGCTGCGTTTGTAGTGCAGCGCGCAAATCACTACTCTACCGCTCCCCACCACATACAAAGATCCCCTGTAAAGCCTTAACAGACTGTTGGGGCAAGTGCTGTTAACGAGCACTTATGAGGGCCGGCACGGCACAGGAGGGGGTGGGTGGCCAACACCACGCCCGACCGCCTTTGTCTCCCTAGTGGCGATGTTTACACACCCCACCAGGTACTCATTTGAGGTTTAGTCGACCTAGGGGAGGCCCAGGACCGGTTCAAATAATTGTCACTGGCAGTGAGCGGGAATCGAACCTGGGTCGCCAGGTCCATAGCGCAGCGTAGCGCTAACCGCTACACCACCGCTCCCATGACACATGTACACACACACACGGGCACACACACACACAGGAGCTGGCCTCGCACAGACACGCTCGCACGCCCACGAGTGGAAGAGAGGTCTTTCCATACAGACCATGAGGAGGCCCTTGTAGGCGTAGACGATGCTGAGCCATATGGTCATGTGAGTGCTTTCGCAGTGCTCCAGCTGGGGAAGGATTGTGAAGTCCTCCCCGCCCTCGGGATGCTGCAGCAGCAGCGGGGGCGACACGGTCGCGTCAAAAGAATAGAATTAGGCGACGTCGATATTTACATTCACACGGGCCGAGGGCGCTTCGAGGGGCTTACACCTTTGTCGTCGCTTTTCGAGGGAGACCTGGATGACAAAAAACAAATCAACAGCAAAGACACACAACACACTCCGCTGGCGTAGGCTTTGTCGCGGTTGTGCCAGTTGTGTGTTTTGATGTCCGACGTTTCGCACCACGTGCCGTTGCTTGAACGCCGAACAACAACAACGCAACACATGGGAGTGACAAGGAGGGGATTTTCATAATAAAGGGTTTTTTGGGTGAGATCGCGTAAGTATGAATGTATCAAAACCCTCCATCACCCGACACAGCCAATCAGTAAGGGATTCGTCACGTAAACAAAGCGCCAAATAGTTACTCCTTCAGCACACCGGTGTGTTGGAGAGTAAATGTACAACATTTACAATTTGTTGTAAATGATGCTGGTAATTGGAACCAGCATCATCGGGCGATTTGCCAGAATGGTGGAGAAATCCTCCTCCTGTGTCGGTGTAAAACAGAGCAGCAGCAGCAGCAGGACGACGTCATCACTGAACCCATGAGCTGCAGAGATCAGCGGCGGAGGAGGAGGGAGGTGTAATTTTATACTAGATTAGTAATCAGTTAATTAGTATGTGTTTCCTCTGTAAGGAATTATAATTGTGATATGTATTACTTAGTAATACGCTTCCTGGGATTTTAATGTGTAGGCTTTCACGACCAATCTGTCATCACAATATATATATTTTTTGGCCGAGATTGCGTGATTAAAATATGCTGTCGTACACCCCTCCTCCACCCGACGCGGCCGATTAACAAAGCTGTCACGTGTACTAGACGTGACGGTGTTCTTCGCACCTCCGATTAGAGCGGTTGGCTACGTACGGTGCGAAAGAAGTCCAGCGTACAGTAACACACACACACGCATCACTGCTTCAGCAGCACCACTCGGAATATGGTGCGAGAGCGATCCACACACATTTAACAATTTGGTAAATTTTCTGATATCCCGCCGTAACCACCACTGAAAGGTCAGACCAGCCAATTGTTGACCGTGTGCGGATCGCTCTCTAGCAACGCACCAAGGTATGTACTGCATGTTGAACTTCTTTCACACCGTTCGTAGCCAACCGTGCTAATCGGCGACTGGATGTATTTGACCTCTGCAGCGCTCTGCTGCAGCAGTCACAAATCGGCACGTTCCGTTCAACTTTATTAGATTGACCGTGTCGGGTGGAGGAGGGGTTTTACGAGACATTTTTTTTTTGCTCGCGCGAACCGACCCCAAGCGATCAGTTGCAAATCAAACACCGGGGGGGGGGGGGGCGCCGCGGCGAGCGCAAACTAACGGCGTCAACGTTGAGAGCGGCGCCAGGGGCGATGAGATGATGATGGTGATGATGAGATGATGGTGATGATGGTGGTGATGGTGGTGATGGGATGATGGTGATGATGATGAGATGATGGTGATGAGATGATGGTGGTGATGAGATGGTGATGATGATGAGATGGTGGTGGTGATGAGATGATGGTGGTGATGAGATGATGGTGATGATGAGATGATGGTGATGATGAGATGATGGTGGTGATGAGATGATGGTGGTGATGAGATGATGGTGGTGATGAGATGATGGTGGTGATGAGATGATGGTTGTGATGAGATGATGGTGATGATGATGAGATGATGGTGATGATGAGATGATGATGGCGATGAGATTATGATGAGATGATGTTGGTGATGATGAGATGATGATCGTGATGAGATGACCTCTGCGGTGTCGAGACTCTGACATTCGGAAGCAGCCGTGTCGAGCGCGGAGCGATGGCCGAGTGTGGCGAGGGCAGCAGCGGCCACGGGGGTCGACGCGGTGCTCGGGAACAGGCACCAGGGGGGGACGGGGGGGGCAGGGGGATGGGATCGGTGCGAGAGATAGCGGCAGAGAAAGAGGCGGAGGAGGAGGAGGCGGTGGATGTGTCCGTGCGAGCAGAGCGATGACCTTGAGCCGTGACGGGCGCAACCGCAATTGGACGAATTCACAATCGCAGAGAGAACGCATCTAAAATAAGCAACCGTGATGAAAGTAAACCCCGCAGGTGGGGTTCTGCTGCGCGGCGGCGTGTGGATCCACCACAATTGATAGAGAAGAGGGGACGTGTCATTTCCTGGGCAGGCAGTGGAGCACTGGCGCAGCGGTTAGCGCGTTGCGTTGCTACAAAACCGCGGCGACCTCTGTTCGATTTCTCAGTCACGGCTAACATCAGTGGCCAGTGATAAATTAACTGCTCCCATCCCACAGCTTCACCAACCAGCAATGACCAGCGTGGTGAGGTATGGTCAAACAATCCCCGTGATTGGGACGGCTTGCCTTTTGTGTCGACGCGGATTGACAGTGCTGTGTAATTATAATGATTTACTAAATTACTGGGGGAGAGGGGATTTTGGGAAGCAATTTTAATGGCGGGAAGGGAAGTGCTCAGCTAAGGGATGGGTAGCGATACCGTCGGGGCAGCCACACCGTCACGTGACCACCTGTGGACGCGTGGTGGTGATGGAATTACGTTTTCCAAAATGTCACTCTTCACGAGAATGTCATCCATAAAATAAAACAAACACAGAACAATATGTATACGTCATTGTTTAACTGTTTTGGTTTGTTTAAAATGCTGCTTTTAAAACACGTTATTACCGCATTTCGGAAGACATGAGACCTTTTACAAAAAAACCTGTCACAGAATAAACCATATACATAATGCGTTACACGTAGCCCGGTATTAGAAACGTGTCCTCTGTTATGCCGAAGGGCAGAAAAATGTGGACTTCATTAGCTCAGAGCCAGCACCGTCACATCACACTATCCTAACAGCTCGCATATTTCAGAGGAGCTGGCGCAGCCGGGGAGCGTGTGTTGCAGATTAATGGGTTCATTTTGCACTTGAATCACAAAAGCCGTGAGATTTACTGCGCTTGCTACACGCACCGCGCACCGCCGTCTCCCTCCGACGGCCTTGCGGGGGTGGCGGGGTGGGCGCTGACTTTATTGCCGACCAGCTGCAAAGGCTGCAAAGGCCTAAACCCCTCCTGGGTCGTTAGTCAGACGCATTAGCTCTGCCTCCAAATGCGGTGGTGGGAGAGCTGGAGAGCGTGGCTACTTACGACGTCCCTTCTCCTGCGAGTGGTGCTGGAATTGAACCACTCACTGAAGGGTTCCGGTTTTCCCAGATTGTCCTCTTTTTGAGGAAGCTGTTTTATTTCGAAATCGAAGTCTTCCCCAGGACGTACGAAAAAAATACGGACCAATTGGCGGTACACCGGTGCGGCATAACACACCGATCCTGATAAAACAGCCTGAAATCGAAATTTGAACCAGCAAATCTGTTTATTTATCAGTCTTTAACTGACCCTGTCGCCGAGTTTGGCGCGATTCGAATGTTTATTCAGTCTCCTGAGAATTGCAAAAAAAAATGTCAATTTTGACGGTTGATTTGGCCGACCAAGACGACGAGTGCCTGGAGCAGCAGCAGCAGCAGCTCTCTTGCGTTGCGTTACGAGCCTGAGTTGGGACTGGAGCATCATTATGATCGTTGTCGTCTTGAACCACCGATGGATAGTGCGGCAAGTCAAGCATTGGGATCGTTCGGGTTAGGTTTAGGGTTATTGTAATGGCAACAATAGATGAGGTCAAAATATAAATCTTCTCGTGACTTTACCGAAAGAACTAAGAATATGAATCCCTGCAGTCACGAAAGCTTTAAATACAAAAGCAAATGCTATTTAAGGACAAGGTTTTCCAATGTAGGCATAATTGTTCACGAAAGGTCAGTGCTTGTATTTCTTCAACCCAAACCCTCCGACCAAACCTCAAGTCTGCCCAGGGCACGAGGAGTCAAAACACGGAGCAGACAATCGTCATCAGGCTGGGTGCTGCTAAACGGCAACAGACTGTGAAGCTTCTTCGTGTTCAGCTGCTCAGAACGGTCGTCTTACGACTGCCTCGACATCACCGGAACTGATGTTGACGCAGCACCCCAAGATTTTCTGACCGGGGTTGCAGATCGTAGGGAAATTTTAAAAAAATATTGCGAAAATTGTGCTTTGTTTATGCTGGCGTACCGCACTACGTTAAAATCTATTTTTTTGTTAGTTGCATCATAATAATAACAGAACACCACCTCAAGACAATGCATTCACATGCAGTTCTCTCCTCTGCTGGTTTTGTGGGGATGTACTTTTCCTCTTCCTGTGAAGTGTCACAGTCCAATGTAAGGTGGAAACCCTAGCCACAAGGTAACAACACGCCGTGATGTAAGAACCCCCTCACCACCCCCTCCGCCCCCCACGTTACCACCACACATTTGAGAAGAAGAAGAGAAAAATATACCTTCCGTTCCAAGACAACCTCAACTCCCACTGGGAGCCTGCGCTCGAGCATATGCGTAGCGTTCACTCAAATCCTGCCCTCGTCTTTATTTACATCGTGACGGTCTTCCTGCTCGCATTCGGACGTAAATCGAAACTGTATTTTGCCAAGCCCAAGGTCGAAATGCGAAATGAAAGGAGCCGAGCGCGCGCCACGGTGCGCGATGGACGGCAGCGGCCACCGCGAGCGGCACCCGCTGCCGTCCGGACGCCTGCACGCTGCCGAAACCGTTGCGTGCGTGCGTACACAATGCGCATGTCGCTTCAACATTTCCCTGCGAAATGTTCGCCGCACGATGTGTGCTCCTAGGCCCGTGTTTGCGTTTTAATGAGGGCATCCCCCCCACTTCCCACCATTTCGCCTCTCCCCTCCTTTCACGACCCCCCCCCCGCTCCACCAACCTTTGTACCCCGCGACACATTTTAATCCGGTGCAGCAGCACTGGACGGGCGTGGAGCCTCATTGCGACGTTTAATTCCCCGCGACTCCCACCTTTGAATATGGTCATTCAGCGCAAAAATAACCAGGCATTGCCCTGA